ACCCCAGGCTCCTGTACCAAGACTGTACAGACCCAGACTGGTTGTATCTGCAAATTGAAGGCCTATAGGAATGTAGGTGGGTCCAAAGGTGGTCTCCAGAGTGCCTGGAGTTGGGGCCAGGAGCCAAGCAGGGCATGGATCAGATTGTTGCAGGGACATAGTTCATCGCATTACTTACTTATGGAATCTCATCGCTTAAGACTGATGAACATGGCATTTTGTCCTGAGACAGACCAACTGAGCACAGCAAATGCCAACAGGAAGCCAGTAAAACGGGCCTCGCGTCAGACAGGTTCACCTCAGATGATTTTAGACCTCCTTGTTGCCAGTGTGGGGAGGTGGGTTTAACTATCCAAATTGGAAACAGAACCTGAGATAAAGAATTTAACCAAAAAAAATGCATACAGCATCAATCATTTGAAACATAAGTAAATCTACAGAAAACATATCACATTCTGGGTAAACCCCTTCCCTGCAAAAAGAACAACGCTAAGATTCAAGATCCAGGCAGTTAAAATCTGGAATATAATGGTTGTGGAACTCTGGAATTTTCCTGAGTTCTGGACAAGGACCGGAAGCTCCCGAAGGTGCTGAGGCAGGGTGGGGAGGACAGGACACACACATAGAAGCAGCACACACAAACTCCAGGAACGCACCAGGGCCAGGGCGCCCGGGGGTACAGGATAGACGTGGCTTATCTTCCCCAGAAGCCTGTTTTGCTCAGGATTAGTGAAAAGTAGGAAGTTGTAAGTGCTCACCATTAGTTTACTAACAGCTTTGCTTTGCAGAGTGGAGGAGGGAGGAAGCTACCTTAACAGCACATGCTGAACTCGAGCCCGATCCTAATTTCAAAAAGTTTAAACCATGAATACATATACATCCTAGGATTAAGAAAAGTAATTTGAAACATTTTAATATTGAAACAGACATGAGTGAAGATAGAGAGTAGAATGGCGGTTGCCAGGGCAGCGGGGGATGGGGAGTTGTTTAATGAGGACAGCTTCAGTTTGGGGAGGTGAAAAAGTTCAGGAGATGGATGGTGATGACTGTTTCACAACAATGTGGATATACTTAATGCCCTTGAACTGAACACTTACCATAGTTAAAATGGTAAATTTTATGTCATTAATTTTTTTTTTTTTTTTTTTGAGTCAGGATCTTGCTCTGTCACCCAGGCTGGAGTGCAGTGGTGCAATCATGGCTCACTGCAGCCTCGACCTCCCGGGGTCAAACCATCCTTCGGCCTCAGCCTCCTGAGTAGCTGGGACTACAGCAGTGTGCTGCCACACCTGGTTAATATTTGTATTTTTTGTAGAGACAGGGTCTCACTATGTTACGCAGGCTGGTCTCAAACTCCTGGGCTTGAGTGATCCGCCCTCCTCAGCCTCCCAAAGTGCTAAGACTACAGCTGTGAGCAGCCATGCCTGGCCGTGAATCTTTCATCACAATTTTTTAAAAAAGAAATGTATGAAGGCATAGGAAATAATTTTCTATAATTTTAAGATGTAAAAGATGAGATTTTCAGTCCATTCTGCACAGGCTCACATTCCCTCTCCCCATATTAGTGGGAAAGTTGGAGAATCCACAGTTTAAGGAGGCCTCAGAATCTTTTGCACAGAGCAGTCCTTTTAGCCACAAATTACTTAGTAATTCCTGGAGTTTATTTATAACTCTGAACAACACCTTCCCCACACCACCATTTTTGCTAACAATGAGATCAGGAGTCTCAACTGCAAGGAAAAGAAGAATGGAATGGAGTGGGTGGGTCTAGGCAGGGTTGGGGCTGGGGGAGGCCTTCGGCTCCTGTCACCAGGAGGCCCAGAGGGGAAGGGAGAGAGAGGCAGATGGCTTGGGGCTCTGACAGAAGGGCAGGGTCCTCTTGAGGTTGCTGTAAGCATCAAAGGGGCTCATGTGTGTCGGAGGCAGGTCACAAGCTTTGCCCACCACACATCAGAGGCAAGAGGACTGGGATGAGTGTGTACTAGGTAGCCCTGGCTTTATGTTAGTATCTCAAGCCTCATCACAAGCATCCTCATTTTACAGAGGACCACCCAGCGGCTCTGAAAGGTTGGGTAACTTGTCTAGGGTCATGTGGCTCACAAGTCATGGAGCCAGAATTTGCATATGGGGTAGCCTGGCCCCATCTCAGCCCTGGAGAGGCACTGAGCCCTGGTGTGCCTTCCCAAACAGGCAGCTGAGAGCTCCCAGGAAGACGCTGTTGGGCCGCTCAGCCCTCTGACTCACACCTCAGAGCAGCTTGGGGCCCTCCCATCCTCTCTAGGGTTCCCCGCCCAGCCCCATCCTGGGCCCCAGTGTGTCCCCGAAGCACCAGCCAAGGAACAGCTGCCCAGTGTACCTTCTCTGTTCCGCCCACTCACCACTCTCCATTTTCCTGTGTGCTCTTTAGGATTCAAGAAGGGTAAGATTAGCAACCTTCAGCCTGGAAGTTGCCCCTGGCTTCTCTCTGGGCTGCTGACTGACTGGTACTAACCTTGAGGGGCAGAAGATGGGTTTTCTGTGACACTTCTGGGACACGCAGTGGCCTGATGGCCTGGGTTCACTGTGGCTCTTGCTGATTTTTGGCAGTGAGCACGGGGAGGCAGTTTCACTGAGCTGACCTACTGTGTGCTGGGCTGTCATAGTGCAATGCTGAGTAAGACGAGCTCCTGGCCTGCACCAGGTTCACCATCTAATACAGGAAAGTGACAAGGAGGCAAGCCATTAGGAGGTAGCACATGAGTGCTGGCACGTACCAGCAGTCCCAGCTACTTTGGAGGCTGAGGTGGGAGCATCGCTTGAGCCCAGGGGTTCAAGGCCAGCCCGGACAATGTAGTGAGATCCTGTCTCTTAAAAAATAAAAAAGAGAGGCTGGGTGCGGTGGCTTATGCCTGTAATCCTAGCACTTTGGGAGGCCAAGGCGGGTGGATCACCTGAGGTCAGGAGTTCAAGACCAGCCTGGTCAATATGGTGAATCCCCATCGCTACTAAAATGGGCATGATGGCAGGTGCCTGTAATCCCAGCTACTCAGGAGGCTGAGATGGGAGAATTCCTTGAACCTGGGAGACGGTGGTTGCAGTGAGCCAAGATTGTGGCACTGCACTCTAGCCTGGGCAGCTGAGCAAGACTCCGTCTCAAAAATAAAAATAAAAAAGAGGCAACTTTATTCTGTGAAAGTTGTGGAAACCAAGGGGAGAGAGGAGCACCTAGTTCACCTTGGAGAGGGTCAGCCCAGTGTCCGTAAAAAAAGCAACCTTTAGCTCAGATCTGAAGGATGGAGGAGGTGGCAGCAAACGGACAATCATCACTCCAGTGCTGGCTTTCTGAGTCCCAGGGCTTGTCTTTGTTGACCTACACCATTTTCTCAGGGAAGAATTCAGCGTACACGAAATTCATGTATACCACTCTGCTCCTAACCTGCCTCAGAGGGAACATGTGCTTCTTGACGTTGTGAGCGATATGTACTTTCTAGTATAGTCTTTTTTTTTTTTTTAACTTGGCATGATTTCATATTTACATTTTCCTGCATAATGACATTTTCTATACACTTGTCATTTTTAATAGCACTATAATTTTCCATCACGTCGACATCCTATAATTTGCCTTGTTATTTCTCGGTTGCTGAGCGTTTGGGGAGTTTCCGGTTTTTCTTCACAAATGGCACCGTGTTATCTTTAGATAAGTTCATTTTTCCCCTTTATATTCTCGGATTTATTTCCCAGCGAAATCACCCATTGGAGCAGGAGCGGTGGTGCTGCTCTTGTTACATAGCGCCAAACGACATTTCAGAAAGAACAAGCTGATGCGGGCTGTGCCGGCATCGCTGCCCCTCCACCACGTCCGACCCTGGGGCTTAAAATATTTAAACTTTTTTTTCCAAGTTAAAAAATCTTGGCCGGGTGCAGTGGCTCACACCACTAATTCTACACTTTGGGAGGCTGAAGTGGATAGGTACTTGAGGCCAGGAGCTCCAGACCAGCCTGGGCCAACATGGCAAAACCCATCCCTACTAACAATATGAAAATTACCTGTGCCTGGTGGTGCATGCCTGTAGTCCCAGCTTCTCAGGAGCCTGAGGCAGGAGAATCGCTTGAACCTGGGAGGCGGAGGCTGCAGTGAGCCAGGATCGTGCCACTGCACTCCAGCCTGGGTGACAGAGCAAGGCTCTGTCTCAAAAAAAAAAAAAAAGAAAAGAAAAAATCTTAAATATATACTTTAAAACATTGTCTTTTTTGCTTTAATTCATTGTTAAAAATAATGTGACACTGAGGGTAAATATTTAAAAGAAAAAAAAAAGTCTCCTCTAGTACCTCTCCAACATACTTTGGTTTTTGTTGTTCCTGCACGTCTGCATGCATTATTATTATTATTATTATTATTATTATTATTATTATTATTATTATTTTGAGATGGAGTTTCCCTCTTGTCAGCCCAGGCTGGAGTGCAGTGGCACAATCTCAGCTCACTGCAACCTCTGCCTCCCAGGTTCAAGCGATTCTCCTGCCTCAGCCTCCTGAGTAGCTGGGATTACAGGCACCTGCCACCATGCCCAGCTTTTTTTTTTTTTTTTTTTAAATAGAAACGGGGTTTCATTATGTTGGACAGGCCTGTCTCGAACTCCTGGCCTCAGGTAATCCGCTAGCCTCGGCCTCCCAATGTGCTGGGGTTACAGGCATGAGCCACCGTGCCTGACCACCTCCCTCGCTTTCTGAGCTTCTTTGTTTCTTTGCCCACTCAACGCCCATTGAGCATCGCTTAGTAGTGTTTGGCGTTCACATCCCTTTGGCTGAGACAGGGTCACCCCCATTCTGGCCCCCAGCCCTGAGCACAGCGCCTGGCACCCAGCAGGCATCCAATCCAGCTTTCAAGGTGGTTTTGTTCTGCAAGCACTGGCTTGAGCGGATCCTTCTGGATTGGCCAGGTGGGACCCTGTGGAACCCATACGCCCCAGGTGAGCCACACCAGTGTCCAGGGGAGTGACCATCTTACTTTTCTCCCTCAGGACTTCCTGGGCAGATACCCAGTCTCCAGGCACTCCTGGGTGGGGGCCTGGCGAGGCCCCCAGGGCTGGCACTGGATCGACGAGGCCCCTCTGCCACCCCAGCTGTGAGTGACCATGGGCTTTTCTCCCTCCTCTGCTGTTCTGGATCCTCCATGTGTCCAGGGTCCACCTCCTTGCTGCTCCCCTAACCTGGAATGCCACTCAGAAAGCAACCCACGCCCATCCTCGCGGCCTGGTGCCTGATGAGTCCCTGTCACTTCACTCCTTATTTGGGTTCCCAGCACGTTCACCCAAGCAGGGTTGTCACCCCCGTTTTACAGATGCGGGTTCAGCTGCCCAGGGAGGTTTGGGGATTCATCCAGTGCCACGTGGCTGACCAGTGCAGTGACTCACTCAGCGCGCAGGCCGATAGAGGTGACAGGCACACAGGCTAGAGGGTCTGTCTGGGAAGTGAGGCCCCGGCACCCTAAACACCTCTCCTCTTTCCCCTCCCACCCTTCCCCAGACTCCCTGAGGACGGCAAGGACAACCCGGATATCAACTGCGGGGCCCTGGATGAAGGCACTCTGGTGGCTGCAAACTGCGGCACTCCAAGACCCTGGGTCTGTGCCAAGGGGACCCAGTGATCTGGGCTCTGCCTGTCCTCAGCCTGCCAGGCGGATGCAGCACCCCTACAGGGGAGGCCAGTTGAGAGCTTGGGCAGCCTCTTCCTGGACCCAGGCATCCAGGTCTCCCTGCTCTGTTCAAGGGGGCACACACGAGCGAGTCTAGGAGCTGGACTTCAACCCAGGAAGATGCATCCGAGGGAAAGGAGATTTTCTGTGGCCTCAGGCCTGAGTGCCAATATTAGTCTCCAGCTTCTGTGGATGATTGGTTTGATGACATTGGGATGGTTGTTTAGCATTTCTGTGCCTTGGTTTCATTAAAATGACAATTTCTCCCTAGAGGAAAAAGACAGGGTTAGCAACCACAGCTGATTCCAATCTGGGTTCTCATTCCGACTCATGGAAACGAGTCTGCTGTTGTTCGGTGGCAGTGGGACTTGGCAGGGATAACGTCATTGCTGTGAATTCTATTCCAGGCAGCTGGGTGTACGTCGAACACAGCCTACCGGCAGCCTCTGTGGGAAATTAACCAAGGAAAAGGAGTGGTCAGGCCTGGGAGGAGTGAGGAGAAAGGTTTTCCTTCCCCGCCCTGAGAGTTGGCAAAGGGTTGGCAGACAGGAAGGTTCTGGGTGGAGATCCCGCATGTGGGCTGGCCGGCTCCTGGCAAGTTGATGCCCAAGGGTAAGACAAGACAGAGAGGACAGGGCCACCTGGCAGGAGAAGCCAGGAGAGCACCCCAGCTTGGTAAGTGGAAGCTGAGAAGTCTGAGTGAGAAAGGAAATCAGAGAAATGCGGGCAGGTTCCAGGCAGCTCTTCCGCCCACAGCTGCCTGCAGAGACGACCAGCCTGAAGAAGTCCCTGTGCTGGGGTGCGATGAAGACCTTCAGGCTGGAGGAAGTGGCTGACAGAGTCGTGTAGTCCCTTGAGTCCAGCTAGACCTCCAAACAGCAGGAGCCTGGGCCTGCGTCTTAGCTTGGTACTGGGCACGCACTCAACTGGCCCTTGCAAGCCAGCCTTCCCTCTAAAGTCAGACCACGCACCCAGATCCCTCCTAAACAGAAATCCTTATTGGTGCATCTGAGCCAGTAATGGGCTGTCTGGGAGAATGGAATGGAGAGTCCTAGATGGAAGAAATTTCTCACACTTTTTTAAAAAATTAGTATTATTATACTTTAAGTTCTGGGGTACATGTGCAGAACGTGCAGATTTGTTGCATAGGTATATACGTGCCATGGTGGTTTGCTGCACCCATTAACCTGTCATCTACGTTAGAAATTTTTCCTAATGCTATCCGTCCCCCAGCCCCGCACTTCTCACACTCTTGAGATGTAACAATAAAAAGGGAAATGGAGACCAGGTGCGGTGGCTCATGCCTGTAATCCCAGCACTTTGGGAGGCCGAGGTGGGCGAATCACAAGGTCAAGAGTTCGAGACCAGCCTGGCCAACATGGTGAAACCCCATCTCTACTAAAAACACAAAAAATTAGCTGGGCATGGTGGTGGGCGCCTGTAATCCCAGCTACTCAGGAGGCAGGGACAGGAGAGTTGCTTGAACCCAGGAGGCAGAGGTTGCAGTGAGCCAAGATTGCACCACTGCACTCAAGCCTGGGCGACAGTGCAAGACTCTGTCTCAAAAAAAAAAGGGAAATGGAAATTCCCTGGCTGGAGGTGAAATGGGTGGCTCGGGTGGGGCAGACACCAATCAAAATACATCCTATGTGGGCAAGAAGCTGTGTATGTTACCCTCCCACCCCCTGCCGTATGTTCCCAGAGTCTGTGCCTGGAGAAATGACACATCTGTAGGTTATGAGTATACAAAACCTTATCTAGCCTTCTCAGTACCTTTTAGAGAAGGGAAGTGTTGTACTTAAAGTCACCCAGCTAGAAAGTGCAAGGTCTAGAATGAAACCCACTTGCTGTCTGACTCCAAAGGCCATACTCTCCATCCCAGCACACAGTAGAGGAATCTAGAAAGGTATTAGTGGCAGCCGAGTGGGAAGCCATCAGGTGGAGTGAGGGAGAAAGGAGGTACCAAGTTACTTCACACTTGTGATAATCTACACCCTCGGTTATCTGTTGCTTTATAACAATTTTTTTTTTTTTTTTTTTTTTTTTTTTTTTTTGAGACAGAGTCTTGCTCTGATGCCCAGGCTGGAGTGCAGTGTCATAATCTCAGCTCACTGCAACCTCTGCCTCCCAGGTTCAGGTGATTCTCCTGCCTCAGCCTCCTGAGTATCTGGGACTATAGGCATCCACCACCATGCCCAGCTAATTTTTGTATTTTTAGTAGAGATGGGGTTTTGCCATGTTGGCCAGGCTGGTCTCGAACTCTTGACCTCAGGTGATCTGCCCGCCTTGGCCTCCCGAAGTGCTGGGATTACAGGAGTGAGCCACAGTGCATGGCCTGCTTTATAACACATTGTTCCCAAACTTAGCAACAACTATTTGCCCCAGACGACTATTTTCCTCCCCCTCATTCTGTGGACTGACCAGGCAGTTCTGCTTTAGATGGTATTGGATGGAGTGCTGGAATGGCTGGGAAGTCCAAAATGGCCTCACTTGCTCAGCCAGCAATGTGGTGCAGGCTCCTAGCTGGGGGCCTTTGTTCTTAGTTCTCCTGTACCTGCGGCTCTCCACGTGGCTGCTTGAGCTTCCTCATAGCATGGCAGATGGATTACAAGAAGGAGCATTCCCAAATAAAGGACAACATAAGCTGGATCTCTGGAGGGCCAGCCTCAGAAATCACCCAGTGTCACATGGGCCACATTTTATTGGTTACAGGGACAGCTAGTTTGAAGGGGAAGAGAAATATGTCTTTATGCTGTATCCAGTGCTAGCCCTTGCTACCTGCTCTCCCAGCCCCAGTGCTCAGGGCAGCACTGGCAGAACCGAAGTACTTGCGGAGTTAAAAACAGCAACATCCAAGAAAATCATTAAGTTTTAAAACTGTCTCCCATCCCAGTAGGTATAGCTTAAAAAGTAATAATAAAAATAAAACTGATTGTGTCTGAAATATTTCACACTTTAAAAATGGCAATCCTCCTGCCTCAGCCTTGAGTAGCTGGGATTACAGGCGTGAGCCACTGCGTCTAGCCTATTTCTCTTTTACACCATATTTTACTGTACTTTTTCTATGTTTAGATACACAAATACTTACCATTGTGTTACAGTTGCCAACAGTATTCAGTGCAGTATATTGAAGTCAAAATTAAAATACAGAGATGAATCCCTAAATTTCTCATGTTATTTGGGATACCAGAATTGCAACTTCAGGCATACACACAGACTGACTGGTCTTCAATATGTCCAAAGAACAAAGAGGAGGTTTTATAAAAAGGAGAAATGTTGGCCAGGTGTGGTGGCTCACACCTGTAATCACAGGACTTTGGGAGGCAGAGGCAGGAGGATCACTTTCGCCCAGGAGTTTGAGACCAGCCTGGACAACATGGTGAGACCCCATCTCTACAAAAAAATAAAAAATAAGTTGGGTGTGATGGCCCCCAGCCTGTAGTCCAGCTGCTTGGGAGGCTGAAGGTGGAGGATCGCTTGAGCCTAGGAGGTTGAGGCTGCAGTGAGCCATGATTGTACCCCTGCACTCCAGCCTGAGTAACAGCCAGACCTGTGTGTCCGACAAGAAGAGAAAGGAGAAGTGCTATGCATTGTTTTTCCAGAAAGTCCATTAGCACTAGTAGAGTGTTGGGGAGCTGGCACGCTCTGATTGGTCAGTGGCTTCAGTAGGTAAAACTAGATTTAGAGCGGTAGCAGGATGTTTCAGAAGCCATTAGATAAAACTGGTTTCAGGTGAGAGCAGGCCGTTTTGGCCGCCAGGCTTGCAGAGAATTGCATTCTTGTGTTATGTGCTCTAAGTGCTTTTTCCCCCCAGCTTCTCAACTGTTTTAATTGGGTCCGACAAGAACGACCCAATTCAAAAGGCCGGGCGCGGTGGCTCACGCCTGTAGTCCCAGCACTTTGGGAGGCCGAGGTGGGCAGATCACTTGAGGTCAGGAGTTCGAGACCAGCCTGGCCAACATGGTGAAACCCCCCAGTATCTACTAAAAATACAAAAATTAGCAGGGTGTGGTGGTGGGCAGCTGTAATCCCAGCTACTTGGGAGGCTGAGGCACGAGAATGGCTTAAACCCAGGAGGTGAAGGCTGCAGTGAGCTGAGATCGTACCACTGCACTCCAGCCTGGGTGACAGAGCGAGACTCTGTCTCAAAAAAAAAAAGAAAAAAAAGAATGACCCAAGTCATATAATCAACTTTCACAAGTAACATGCTGTACAGGTTTGTGGCCTAGGAGTAATAGGCCATACCATAGAGCCCAGGTGGGTAGGAGGTTCTACCCTATAGGTTTGTGTAATTAAATGATGTTTGCACAATGATAAAATCGCCTAACAACAAATTTCTTAGACATTTCCCTGTTGTTAAGTGACACATGACTATTTAAAATGTATTTGATCTGAAGCTATCTCTTTCGAATGCTATTTTATCGGATTTTAATGTTATGCTGACTTCATTAAAAGAATAAGGACTCTCTGTCATCTGAGCTCTGGAGGAAACAGCACTGATGTGTGTGGCAGGGTCGGCAAGGAAGTGCTCAGAGTCTTCCAGGTCCTGTCAAAAGAACTGAGGACGAACCTGAAGAGGCTTTCACTGACCAAAGGCAGTTTTCCTTTTAAATTAATTAATTTTTGCTTTAAAAAATCTTTTTTCTTAGTATTACTGTGATTAAATTAAGGGTCTTCAGATGAGAGGAGCCTGGGTTACCCAGGTGTACCCAGTGTAATCACAAGCGTCCTTATAAGAGGGAGGCAGGCGGGTCAGAGGGCGCTGGAGGAGGAGGAGGAGACTGGATGTCAGAAGCCGGGGTTGTCGTCGTCGTCGTTGTCGTCACTCAAAGATGCTACACTCTGGCTTTGAAGGAGGGGACCAGGAGCTACGGACTGCAGGAAGATTCCAGAAGCTGAAAAAGAGGCTGGGCGCGGTGGCTCACGCCCGTAATCCCAGCACTTTGGGAGGCTGAGGAGGGTGGATCACTTGGGGTCAGGAATTCAAGACCAGCCTGGCCAACATGGCGAAGCTCCTTCTCTATTAAAAGTACAAAAAATTAGCCGGGCATGGTGGCAGTCACCTGTAATCCCTGCTACTCAAGAGGCTGAGGCACGAGAATCACTTGAACCCAGGAGGTGGAGGTTGCAGTGAGCCAATGTTGCGCCACTGCACGCCAGCCTGGGCGACAGAGGGAGACTCTGTCTCAAA